CTACTGGCTGTTGCTATATCTGATAGAGCACCAGAACTATGGCCACTCCAGCCATCATCAGGAAGGCCAATCTGGGAAACACAGAGTAGGCAGAAGATAGTAAGAAGTGGATGTTAGGATGTCATTGAGCCACTGAATTAATCAACTCCGGGTCAACCTACATTTAGACTTGTTGCTACATGAGAAAATAATCACCCGTCGTTGCAGCTCTTTGACTTCTGTGCAGCCAAATCATCACGAGACAGAATGAATGAATCAATGAATGACTCCATCCACTAGCACAAGAAAGCCAACTCGCCTAGAATTGAGTTACGGTCTTATCTTGACTTCAAAATTTGCTTACTGTTCTTAAGAAACTCAAGTAATAAGATAAAATCTTGATTATCTGAAAGTTAGCATATTATAGTTTTCTAGATAAATTTGGCTTTTAGGTGAAAGCTGCCCCTGGCAAAGGAAAAGAATCTCTTACTAGGGCTTTATTTAAAAAAACAAAGATAATATTCTTGGACTAGTTTCAGAGCCAATACACATTCAATACTAGCTCCTAAATAGCATGTGTGAGCATAACGTGGAGACCTTTTTAAAAAGCCTATTCCTGGGCTTCACTTCCAGATATTAGGTGCAATGGAATGTGGTTGAGTCCAGGAAACTGCATTTTAGCCAGCATTCTTACGTGACTGGTCTGCAGGCCACACACACTTCAAAAAACCCTATTCTAAAACTTTCATTTTATATCTATGGAACCGAAGAAATGGTGTTTCACCCAAAAATCGAGGAAGCAGATTCAACTGATGGAAAGATCTAGAAGACAGGAGCCATAACTTGGCTTCTCTATTTACCAGAATAAGACACTGATCAGGCAAGTCACTTAAGTAAGCCCTCTAGGCCTGAACGTCTCCATTTATTATAAACAACACAGATTAATAGTTTTATGCATTGCCATCCCTCAGACTGGTTGTGAATACCAACAATCTCAGTAGATGTATTACGCAAATATACGAAAATACTCTTTGTTAGGACTCTGGTGTTCATTGAACTCTGTAATAAAAGAATTATTTGTGTTCATTAGGCTCTATTCATTAAGAAAGAAATGAGGACTCAGGTTTTAGGAAGATTGCTTCATGGTCAAACTGTAAAAGGGATTTTGCTTAACTTCGAGTTAACCTGAGAACTTGTTAACCAGGATGTCCTATTCCTAAGCATTTTAACTGAGTTTTCATGTAAATAAAGCACATTTATTAACAATTAGGTGCATTCATGGGTAGAAGCCCTGTCACAGGGCACTTCGCTGACTTAGGCAAAAATTGATGGGCCTGACAACCTACAGAATGGGAGAAATTATTTGCAAATCATATATCTGATATGAGATTAACATCTGGAATATAAAGGAACCCCTAAAGCTTAACAACAAAAAAACCCAGACAACTTGGTTTAAAAATGGGCAAAGGATTTCAACAGACATTTCTCCAAAGAAGATGAATAGCCAAAAATCACATGAAAAGATGCTCAGCATCACTAATTAGGGAAATATAAATCAAAACTGCAGTGGGATACCCCTTCGCACCCATTAGGATGGCTACTATTTAAAAAAAAAAAAAAGCCCCAGAAAAACACAAGTGTCGACAAGGATGTGGAGAAATGGGAACCCTCGTGTACTGTTGGTGAGAATGTAAAATCATATAGCTGCTTTTGAAAACAGTATGGGAGTTCTTCAAAAATTAAACATAGAATTACTATATGATCCAGCAATTCTACTTTTGGGTATACACCCAAAAGAATTGAAAGCAGGGTCTTGAAGAGATATTTGTACATCCACGTTCAGGACAGGATTATTCACAGTAGCTAAAAAAATGGAAGCAACCCAAGTGTTCATCCGAATGAACGGATAAGCAAAATGTGGTGTTGCAGAAAAATTGCAAAGATCAGCGAGAAACCAAGCAGCACTCGGAGGGTTGGAGAACTCAGGTTTATTACACCAGCGGTCCCAGAAGAGCTAGTGCTCTGAAAATCTAGGCCCCGAGCTTATGGCCAATTTCACTTTTATACCTGTGTTGTTACAGTTGGCATGGGCTAATTTACAGACCTCGGGAGTTGCTATGGGCTACAGGCAGTTACAGAGCATGAGATTTTTTTTTTAAAAACAGGCACTAAGGCAATACAACTGTTCAAACAGGCACTAAGGCAGAACATCCAAAAGAGAGGGTGAGTTTTCAGTTGATCCTGAGATCTTTGGCCTATGCAGCAAGCATGTTTACAGAAGCAGAACAAAGAACTGATTACAAAGTTAGCCATTTAAGTAGGAAATTCTTCTTCAGTGATACATACAATGAGTTATTATTCAACCTTAAAAAGGAAGAAAATTCTGCAATATACTATAACATGATTGAACCTTGAAGATGTTATAAGTGAAATAAGTCAGTCACAAAAGACAAATATTGAATGATTCCACTTGTATGAGATACTGAGAGTAGTCAAAATCTTAGAGATGGTGGTTGCCAGGGCTAGAGGGAGGGGAGAATGGGAAATTGTTGTTAATGAGTATAGTTTCGGTTTAACAAGATGAAAGTTATGAGAATGGATTGTGGTGAAGGCTGTACAACAATGTGAATGTGTTTAATACCATTGAATTGCACACTTAAAAATAGTTAAGATGGTAATGGTTATGTGTACTTTACCACAATAAAAAAAAATCCATTTAAAAAATTAATGGAGCCAAGATTACATACTGCATGATTGCATTCTGGAAGAGCAGGGAGAACAGAGCAAAGGTTGCCAGGGGCCAGGGGCCAGGGGCCAGGGGAGGCAGAAGGGTGTAACTACAAAGGAGTCCAGGAGAGTTATTTGGAGAGACGGTACTATTCTGTATGCTCAATTGTGTTGGTTAGAAGAACCCTTATATGTCCTAACATTCATAACTGTACATTAAGATAAGCACTTTTACTATATGTTAATTTAAAAAAATAAAATTAATTAATTGACCCAACTCACAGTAATCGTTTTCCTTGCCTAAATAATAGCAACCCAAAGGGCTGGAGTTCGTGTAGAGAGAAAAGAAGAATCGAGATATAGGATGGTAGACAGGAACAGAGAATGAGAACATGCATGCTGGGTAAACAATTGTTCTGAGTACTTTTTCACTTCTTTTTTGTTTTGGAGAGTTGTCCCCTAAAGATCTATCTTATTGGGGCTTTCTCCTTCTCTTCCCAAGTGTAAAACTATTCTGAGTACCAGTAATTTCTGTCATTTCTCCTACAAGGCACTAAACACTTCTGTCCAATGTTAATTTCTAGGTTAAACTTTAATTTCTAAATTATCTCATTCTCTAACAATACTCAGGATGGTTAAGTTTTTGAAGCAAAGCCCTCTCTAACAGTTCCAACATTTGAATTCAGGCAGAATCAGGGGAGAAAGGCATTGTCCACAGTGCCTCTCCTCTTCACACTTCAACTTCCTCTCTTAATCAGAGCTGCTAAAAATATAACGCGAGATAAATCTGTAATTTTTAATTTTTTAATAGCCACCTTAAAAAAGTAAATAAAAGTGAAATCAATTTTAATACTATATTTTATTTAGCCCAGTATATCAAAATGTTATCATTTCAACATGTAATCCATATAAATTGACCTATTTTGCATTCTCTTTTTTGTACTACATCTTTGAACTCCAATGTGTATTTTTAACCTTAAAGTCCGTGGCAATTTGGACTCGCCATATACCAAGCCCAATGCAAAATGGTAATTATTCAATATTTGAGCCTCTGCCTACATTCTTCATTCATTAATTGGTGAGCAAACACTGAAGTGTCTACTATGCATCAAGCATTGTGCCGGAAACTGGAAATACAAAAGCGAATGAGACATTGATTAGCCTAAAGCTCACTCTGTGTGGGTGAGAGACACATAAAGGGACGATTACAAAATAATGTGAAAGAATCATGACATAGATGTAACTATGTAACTTTTATGAGCAACTGAGAGGGGAAAGAAGTGCCAGAAATGTAATTTTAAAGGTAGCCCAGAGCTGGCTTCAAGGATGTGGAATCTCAGCTCTATGAAGGGGATGGGAAAGGGCATTTTAGAGGTGCCAGCTTGAGCGAAGGCACTGAAACAAGGGACAGTGGGTCCCAGAGACCCTAAGAGTACATGTTAGGGCAAAGAAGAAAGAGAAGAAAGTGAATAGGTAAGCAAGGCCTGGTAAGTAACATCAAGTTTGGCTTCTAAAATAAAAACCTCTCATACTTCCTAAAATTTCAAGAAAGATGAAGTGCAAATGACACCAGATTTAGGTTTTTGCCTCTAACAGTCGCCACTACCCTGAAGCAGCTGCTCCATGAGGGCAGGGACACTGCTTTGCTCACCACCCTACCCCAAGGCCTGCAACACTGCCTGGCAGAGTGGGCGCTAGAGCGTTTACAATAGCTCGAGTTCCCGCCTTCATTCTTTTTCCTCCAGCCCTCCCCATCCCCCTCAGTAGGGTGGGAAAGGGTGAAGGGTGCTAGCCAGGCGGGAAATCCTCCGTCAAGCTTCAGGGTGACCCAGAGCCGTGGGGCGCCCTCACCTCACCTTACGCCTCTGGTGGTAACCCAACGCGTGACCGCTTCACGCGCCTCTGCGGGAGGCGCCACCTAAGGAGTGGAGGAGGGAGCAGGCACCTCCCTCGGCTGAGGGGCTCTGAGGGCTGTCCCCCAGGCCGGAAGCGCGAGTCCTGCCGCCCGCGTCCCTGCGCTGCCGCGGTACAGAGAACGGTCCACTCCGCCACCACGCGGGTCCCCAGACACCCCGCCCCACGCGTTGGTGAGAAGAGGGTGGAGCGGCCTGACTCCTGCAGCCAATAAAAACAGCGGGTTCCTGGTCCGATCTCCGGCGCGGCTCGCTATTGGTCGCCAACAGGGTCTCGGCCCACCGAACCTTTGCGAAATGAGCCAATCGCTAGGCGGCGAG